ACTGCCGGCCTAGGTAGAGTTGAAGACTGTCCTCTGATCCCTGTAGCCATTAGGCAGTTTGGCAGCTTGTTGATGTGATGGAAGTAATTATTATTATTATTTTGAGTTGTAGTCTTACTCTGTCGCCCAGGCTGGAGTGCAGTGGCACACTCATAGCCACCCCAGCATCAACCTGCTGGGCTCTGGCAATCGGAAGCAATATTTTAGGAAGCAGGCAGGGCCTCCCTGTCTTGGTGCCAAGGATAAGTGGAGGCTGAAACCAGGGAAACTATCAGTGACTGTTCTGCCTGTTGGCACCTTTTTCATTATCTTTCTCTCCCTAGTTTTGACTATAAACATTCCAATCCTCCCAAAATTAAACAGAAAAAAAAAAGTGTTTCAAATTGAAACATAGATTTAGGTGTGTGTGTGGGGGGGGAAATGGTGTGTACTACACCTGCTTTCTGTGTTAGCAAAATATCTCTGCATTTTCTGATTCCAGGCAGGTTGATAAGTGTTTGTTTTCAATCACATGCTTGCTGGCAGGACATTTAATTTGTATCATATTCATGTTTAGTACTAGTGAAATCATACTAGAATAGAGTTTGTTATTGGAAATCTGACTTTTTTTCCTCTAGTATATTTCCAATGATACAATCCAACTTTTTCAAAACAAAGGTCCTATCTCTTGTGTTGCCTTAGAAATGTTTGCAGGAAGTTGTCTTTGTGAGTATGCTTTTATATAATTGGGAAAAGTTGTAAGAAATCGTTTATGGAAATACAATTAATTTAAATAAATCTTTGGATTTAACTATAAGCAAATTCATCACGGTGTTTATTTATCATAGAATGGAAACTTCAAGCGTTTTCTTATTTCGGATTATATGTGCTTTGAAAAAACGCAGTAGCACAATCATGGCTACCGCAGCTTCAACTTCCTGGACTCAGGTGATTCTTCCATCTCAACCTCCTGAGTAGAAGAAACTACAGGCCTGGCTAATTTTTCTATTTATTATAGAGACACGGGCTCACCATGTTGCTCAGGTTGGTCTCAAATCCCTGAGCTCAGGCAATCATTTTACCTCTAACTACCAAAGTGCTGGGATTACAGGTGTGAGCCACTGTGCCTGGCTATTTGCTAGTGATTTTTTTTTATTTTTTAAAGAAAAAGTTCTTTGGGAAGTGTACTTCAGATAAAAACAATGAGATTCTTGGTTTTTTTTTCAAACCTTCTTTATCAAAATTGTTTGGTTCTCAGGATATTTTTGGTTTCTTTTTTGTGTTGTTTTCTTTCTTTTTCTTTTCTTTTTTTTTTTGAGTTGGAGTTTCACTCTGTCGCCCAGTCTAGAGTGCAGTGGCACACTCATGGCCACCGCAGCCTCGACCTGCTGGGCTCAGGTCATCTTTCCATCTCAGCCTTCCAAATAGCTGGAACTACAGGCACACGCAACCATGCCCAGCTAATTTTTGATTGATTATAGAGATGAGGTCTCGCCAAATTGCCCAGGCTGGTATCGAACCCACTCGTCTCTGCCTCCCAAAGTGCTGAGATTACAGGCTGAGTCACTGAGCCCGGCCTTGTGTTGTTTTCAATGCACCCTTAGATACTGATGCCAGAATAAATGAGTATTGCTGATTACCAAAACTGTGACAGACAAAGGTACAGAGAGACTATGGCATTGTCACCAAAGCAAAGGCTCTCTTGACTATGGGAAGGACAAGAGGGCTTTTAACCTACAGATTTCATCCCTGAATATTCAAAAATCTTAGCCACATTTGAAAAGAAAGAGTGAGAAAAAGAGCCTACAGCATCTCATAGCATAGGACACTGACAGAACTCTCCAGTCCTGTCTTGTGGGCCCAACGTTCTAGGCCGTTTTTCACTTAACTCTGTGGGCTTCAGTTTCAAAATAAAACCTAATAAATAGTATAAGGAAATTTGTAGGCATAGGCTGGTAATGTTTCATGAATATGAAAACAAAATTGTTTTCATGGAGTAACAGGGTTATGTAAACTGAAGGAACTTATAGGTTTGAGGGAGCATATTTCTGTATTTCTGAAGTTAATGTTGCAAATATTTATTGCTGTGTCCTAAGTATTAATGTGGGTGCTAATTGCAATTATAAATCTTCAATTAGTGCTCAGAACATTAAGTATGTTTTTACAGTTTTTATTAAGACCGTTTTTGTGTGTCAAATTTAACTGACCATTTTGTTTATTACAGAAAGCAGTACCTATCTTAGGTAGAAAACTAGAAAATTCAGGCCGAACGTGATGGCTCACGCCTGTAATCTCAGCACTTTGGGAAGCGGAGGCGAGAGAATTGCCAGAACACTGGACAACTTGGGCGAGACCTTGTCTCTACAATAAATCAAAAAATGTAGCTGGGTGTGGTGGCACATGCCTGTGGTTCCTGCTACTTGGAAGGCTGAGGCGGAAGGATCATCTGAGCCCAATAGGTCGAGGCTGCGGTGGCCATGAGCATGCCACTGCACTCCAGTCTGGGTGACAGAGTGAGACTCTAACTCAAAAAAGAAAGAAAGAAAGAAAATTAGAAAGTTCAGACAAGCAAAACTAAAATCACATTCTCATCTCCCAGAGATCATATGTGAAATCTCTGTGTATGTATGTGTGAGAGAGAGAGAGAGGAGACAACTGTTTTTAAGCCAACATGAGGTCATTGTATATACTGCTGTTTGGTAAATGCTTTCTTCAGTCAAAATCTCTACTCTTTTTATTTCAGTAAAAATCCATCTCATATAATTCCAAATCTTACTCAGATTTTCCCAAGAAGACCCCAGAAGGTCCTATAGCTGGTTTGCCCTAAGAATACCCAACTCAGGACCAGGCCAGCATCTCTGGTTGTTTGTTAAGTGTCTTTATTTAGCACAGGACTCCCCTCCTCCCATTACATCCCATTGACTTGATCTTTGCCCTCCATTGTTGTTAAAATTTGAAATCTACAGAAAAATATGATAGACACTTGGCCTAATTCATCGTTCACGGATCTTTTACTACATTCTTTCTCCTCCTCACCCCCTTTTTGAGGTATTTGAAAGTAACTTGCAGACAATCCTTTTGTGTTTCTGCTTGATTTTCGTCCTTCCATGACATTGACATTTACGGTCGGGCTAGTTGTGTGGCAGAAGGTCCTTCATAGATTTGTCTGATTGTGTCCTCATGATTGGATTTCGTTAAATATTGTTTTGTTTTGAGTCAGAGTCTCACTCTATTGCCGAGGCTGGAATATAGTGACATGCTCACGGCCACCGCAGCCTCTACCTGCAGGGCTCACGCCATCCTCCTGCCTCAGCCTTCCAAGTAGCTGGAACTACAGGCATATGCCACTAAGCCTGGCTAATTTTTTGATTTATTGTAGAGACAAGGTCTCACCAAGTTGCCAGGGCTGGTCTCGAACCCTTGGGCTCAGGCAGTCCTCTCACCTCGGCCTCCCACAATGCTGGGATTATAGGCATTAGCCACCATGCCTGGCCATTAAACATTGTTGTGGGAATACTACGCAGATAATTTAATGTCTGATGATTTATTGTCCTCTCGGTGCTTCATAGCAAGAAGCACAATGACATTTGTCCCATTATTGAGGATGTTAAATTTGATCACTTGGTTATGGTGCCGCCTGCCAAAGTTCTCCATTGTCAAGGTTGTTCTTTTGAAATGAAGTCATCTAGCTGGGCACAGTGGCTCACAGCTGTAATCCCAGCACTTTGGGAGGTGGAGGCAAGAGGATTGCCTGAACCCAGGGGTTCAAGACCAGCCTGGACAACTTGGTGAGACAACTTGATTTTCATCTCTAAAAATAAAAAAAATTAGCCAAGTGTGGTGGCGCACACCTGTAGTTCCAGATACTTGGAGGGCTGAGGTGGAAGAATAGTCTGAGCCTAGGTCGAGACTGTGGTGGCCGTGACGTGCCTCTGCACTCCAGCCTAGGTGATAGAGTGACACTCTGACTCAAAAAAAAAAAGGAAAAGAAATGAAGTCATCTGTGCATTGATATTCTGAAGTGTATATTACCTGATAGCCTTTCACCCAGTGATTTTAGCATTCCATGATCCTTAACCAAATAAGTTGTTATGATGGTGTCTGTCTGAAAAGTTCTAAATTTTATCTATGTTTGACATTTTTTCATAAGTAAGTACTTCCTGCTCCCTATTTATTTATTTTTTAGTGTCACTCTTAATTCATGGACTCTTTTTTTCATTCGATGTGCTGTAACCCATTAATGTCATTTTCTTTTCTTTTTTTTTTTTTTTTTGAGCTGGTAGTCTCTGGTGCCCAGGCTGTAGTGCAGTGGCACAATCACAGCTCACCACAGCCTTGACTTCAATTGGTTCTCCTGCCTCAGCCTCCTGAGGAACTGGGACTATAGGCATGCACCACCATACTCAGCTAGTTTTTAGAGATGAGATCCCGCTATGTTGCCCAGGCTGATCTCAAACTCCAGGGCTTAAGCAGTCCTCCTGCCTTGGCCTTCCAGAGTGCTGGGATCACAGGCATAAGCCACCATGCCTGGCCTGCACCTGAATTTTTAAAGGTCATTAGAAAGAAGTAGCCATGAATCTATTAAGATTTACAAATCGGCTGAGCGCGGTGGCTCAGCCTATAATCCCAGCACTTTGGGTGGCCGAGGTGAGAGGATTGCCCGAGTTTGAGACCAACCTGGGCAATGTGGCGAGACCTCATTTCTACAATAAATCAAAAAATTAGCTGGACGTGATGGCGTGTGCCTGTAGTTCCAATTACTTGGAAGGCTGGGACAGAAGGATTGTCTGAGCCCAGCAGGTCGAGGCTGCGGTGGCCGTGAATGTGCCACTGCACTCCAGCCTGGGTGACAGTGTGAGACTCTGACTCAAAAAAAAAAAAAAGATTTACAAATCTTACCATATGCTGGAATTGCTTGACATTAAAGGAAGTATTAATTGGTCATATTTTGAAAATATTTTATTTTCTCGCATTATAATCCTATCTTCTTTTCTCCTGCTTGCCTCCTTTTTTGTTGCTAGTTGGACAGAGAGAATCCGAAGATGTGAGTGAAAGAGACTCGAGTGAAGAGATGGCTGCCCACTCCGCAGTTGTTCAGGACATCACTTGTGATGGGCCGGACGAGATGCCTGAAATAATTGAACAGATCCCTTCTTCAGAAAGCAATTTAGAGGACTTAACACAGCCCCCCGAGTCTCAGGCTAACGATATTGGATTTAAGAAGGTGTTTAAGTTTGTCGGCTTTAAATTCACTGTGAAAAAGGATAAGACTGAGAAGTCTGACAACGTCCAACTACTCACTGTCAAAAAAGATGAAGGGGAGGGAGCCGTGGGGGCTGGTGACCACCAGGAGCCCAGCCTTGGGGCAGAAGAAGCAGCATCCCAAGAAAGTGAACTCAAACAGCCCATAGAGAAGCCCGAAGGGACCCTTAGGCATGAGCAGGGCACCACGGAAGTTGCTCTTCCTGCTGAGTTTGGTCAGGCAGTGGATGAAGGCAAAGGCGAAGGGGAAGAAAAGCAAGAAAGGGAACCCAGGTCTGCAGAGTCTCCCACGAGCCCGGTGGCCAGTGAGACGACATCATCCTTCAAAAAATTCTTCACTCAAGGTTGGGCCGGCTGGCGCAAAAAGACCAGTTTCAGGAAGCCAAAGGAGGAGGAACTGGATGCTTCGGAGAAGAAAAAGGATCAAGAGCCAGAGAAAGGAGACACGGAGGAACACGAAAAGGCGGACGATGGCTCCGAGAAGCCCACGGTCTCAGCACTGCCACACCCGCCCGAGCTGACGGAAAGCGATCGTGAGGCCCGACTGTCGGCTGACTATGAGAAGGTCGAGATGCCCTCGGACGAGCAAGTTGATGGCTTGCAGGGATCTTCTGCGGACAGACCCGCTCCGTTAGCGACAGAAGTGTTCGATGAAAAGATAGAAGGCCACCAAGAAGAAGTTGTTGCTGAAATCCACATCAGCACTGCCGAGAGGACCACGGACGAGCTGGAAACCAAGGGCCAAGAAACAGTAGAGGCTTTGCCCCCCGGGAAATCGGTGGAAGCAAGTGCCGAACCCCAGGAAGGTGAACCTCCCACCGAGCTGGAAAAGACCAAAGACGCCTGTGTTTCTGGAGGGGACCAGCCTCAGGGAGCCGACCTGAGTCCTGATGAGAAGGTGGTGACCAAGCACTCCGAAGCCATTGTGAGTGAGGCGGAAATGCTGTCCTCGCAAGAGAGAATGAAGGTGCAAGGAAGTCCATTGAAGAAGCTTTTTACCAGTACTGGCTTAAAAAAGCTTTCTGGAAAGAAACAGAAAGGGAAAAGAGGAGGAGGGGGTGATGAAGAGTCAGGGGAGCAGAGTCAAGTTCCAGTAGACTCTCCAGACAGCAATGATGAACAGAAGGGCGAGAGCTCTGCCTCCTCCCCGGAGGAGCCCGAGGAGATCACGTGTCTGGAGAAGGGGCTGGCAGACGGGCACCAGGATGTGGAGGCTGAGGAAGGAGCCACTTCCGATGGAGAGAAGAAAAGAGAAGGCGTGACCCCCTGGGCATCCTTCAAAAAGATGGTGACGCCCAAGAAACGCGTGAGAAGGCCTTCTGAAAGTGACAGAGAAGAGGAGTTGGACAAGGTGAAGAGTGCTACCTTGTCCTCCACAGAGAGCGCAGCCTCTGAGATGCAAGAAGAACCCAAAGGAATCGTAGAAGAGCAAAGGCCGGAGGAGCCAAAGCGCAAGGTGGACACGTCGGTGTCCTGGGAAGCCTTAATTTGTGTGGGGTCCTCCAAGAAAAGAGCAAGGAAAGCGTCCTCTTCTGATGATGAGGGGGGACCCGCAGTGACGGGAGGAGACGGCCAAAGAGCCGACGAGGCCGGAAGAGACAAAGAGGTAGGAGCAGACGCCACCCTTGCCAGCTCCCAAGAGCATGATCAAGGGCAAGGAAGCTCCTCTCCCGAGCAAGCTGGAAGCCCTTCCGAAGGGGAGGGCGTCTCCACCTGGGAGTCATTTAAACGATTAGTCACGCCCAGAAAAAAGTCCAAGTCGAAACTGGAAGAGAAGAACGAAGACTCGGGGGCTGGCCCTGGCGTGGAACATTCCGCTTCAGATGCCGAACCCGGGAAAGAAGAATCTTGGGTTTCCATTAAGAAGTTTATTCCCGGACGAAGGAAGAAAAGATCAGATGGGAAACAAGAACAAGCCACGACTGAAGACACGGGGCTGGCGGAGGCCAACGAGGATGACTCCGATGTCCCGGCCGTGGTGCCCCTGTCTGAGTATGACGCAGTCGAGAGGGAGAAATTGGAGGCTCTGCAGACTCAGGAGAGAGCCGAGAAGCCCAAGCAAGAGGCAGCTGCCTGTGTGTCTGAGGAGCTCAGTAAGAGCCTGGTTCACACGGTGGCGGTGGCCGTCATTGACGGGACAAGGGCAGTCACCAGTATTGAGGAACGGTCCCCTTCTTGGATATCCGCTTCAGTGATAGAGCCTCTCGAACAAGCAGAAGATGAAGCCACCATAGAAACCAGGGAGGTATTTGAAAGAGATGTCACCGCAGGAGAAACGCCCATGGTGACCAAACCTTCACCAGAGAACAGACGTGCCCGGGATGACTCGGTCGTTGGGGAGGTGGAATTGATGTCCGGAGCTGTGACAGCTGCAGAAGCAACAGGGGCTTTTTGTCCTGAGGAGGCAACCGAAGCCTCTGGCGCTGAGGAGACCACAGAAATGGTGTCAGCAGTTTCCCAGTTAACCGACTCCCCAGACACCACCGAGGAGGCAACACCGGTGCAGGAGGCAGAGGGTGGCGTACCAGACTTAGAAGAGCAGGAGAGGCAGACCCATGAGGTCCTGCAGGCAGTTGCAGAAAAGGTGAAGGAGGGGTCCCGGCTGCCTGGCACTGGAGGGCCGGGGGACGCCCTCCACACCACCCAGAAAGAAGAGTCCGAAACACCAGAAGAAGGTTCTGGAGCGCCAGTTCTGAAGAAAGAGATGGCTGATGATGCAGCGTTAAAGGTCTACATTCAAGAGATGAAAACCGAGCCTTGGACACAAGGGGAGGGGATGCTGCAGACCACCCCGGAAAGCTTTGAGAAAGCTCCTGAAGTCACAGAGCGTGCAGAGGCCAGGGAGCTTACAACCATTTGTCACACTGAAACCTCGGCTGGGGTCAAGTCTCGGGCGGTTGTGATGGAGCAGGCTGCCCTCCCTGACTCTGTTGAAACCCCTACAGACAGTGAGACCAGTGGAAGCATCCCTGTGGCAGATGTTGGCACTCTAGAGACAGCGCAGCAAGACAAGATGGTAGAAACCCCTAAAGATGGTGATGTTGCATCTGTTGCCCAGCCAGGGGTCACAGAAGCCGAGGCCGTGCCTGTCCAGATCAAGAGACCTCTGGCATCTTCTGGTCTTCCATCCCAGGAAGAAAGGAAAGAACAGTCAAAAATGGAAGATGCTGTGGAACATACAGACAAAGAGGGGTCTGTGGAAACTGTACCCCTTCCGCCCAAGACTGAGGCTATTCAAGAGGCTGGCCAACTTGCTGGTGAGGAAACCAAAGGTGGACCATCTATCGTAGGACTTGAGGTGTCTGTAGATGCAGACGTAACCGTCAGTCAGGAAAAGGCCATGGAAGCTGTCCTTAAAGATGAAGTGATGAAAGAAGCTGAATGTCAAAAGAATGATAATATTGAACTCCAGAGTGCTGCTAAGTCTCTTCCGCGTCCAGAGGAGAGAGAAATGGAAGTTCAAGTAGAAAGGAAGAACACAGAAGCCAAGCCAACCCACATGAGTGACAAGAAGCTTGAGCAAAAAATGGCAGGGTCTGAAGAGCTTCATGAGCTACTGGTTCAGACAGTGAATGCGACCGTCCTAGATGGAGAAAAGGAAGTTGGCAGTTTGGAAGGAAGTCCTCTTCCTCCTCTCAGTCAAGAGGAAGCAGCACACACAGAAATTCAGGTTCAGAGCGCCGAGGCGCCGTTCACACTAACAGCTGCAGCAGGGGAGGAAAAGGTCTTAGGAGTGATGGTCAGAGTTTTAGGAACAGGTGAAGCTTTGGAGTCTGCAAGTGCACATTTAGTGCTGGAAGAAAAAGCCTCTGAAAAAGATGAAGACTTCACTGCCCAGCCAGGAGAAGAGGCTGTGTCCACAGGGCCTGAGTCTCAGGCAGAATCAGTAGCAGTGACGGTGTCTGCCACTACCGAAAAAGGTTTCTGTTCTGACCTGGATGGAGAGAAAACCAAGTCGCTGAGATGGAAGTTAGATGAAGTGGAGGGGCAGGCTGCGTGCCAGGAGGTCACAGTGGTAGCAGCAGAGGAAGTTTTCAAGGCTGAAAGTGAAATTGTGGAAATTCAGACTGAGAGCAGTAAACTCGTCCAGAACATCATTCAGACCGCTGTTGACCAGTTCGTCCGCACAGAAGAAATAGCCACTGAAATGGTGACGTTGGATTTGCAGATACAGGCTCCCCCGATGAAAGCTGATACCCAGAGAGCTGAACAGGAAGCAGAGGAAGAAGACAGCAAACATGAGGCCTCTGCACTGGATGAAACACACACTTTTGCAGCCAAAGAGGAGTCAGAGCTCACCGTGGTAGAACAGGCACGTTCTGGTATTTCCAAAGATGTAAGTGACGCTTCAGAGAAGAGCATAACCGCTGAGGTAGAAAGTTCCAGCGTAAATGACCAGCAGCTGGAAGAGGTAATTCTCCCATCCAAGGAAGAGGGAGATGGAACTGGAACACAGTCTGGGCCAGAAGACGATGGTTGTGCCACGTTAGGAGAAATGAAGGAGAAGTCGCTCTTTGAATCCAAAGAAGATAAAGAAAGAGATGGTGTTCATGGCCCTGAGAAGCAAAACTCAGCCCTGGAAGACACCGATGCCTCAGGAGGCGCAGCCAAAGATTCTCCAGATACAAATGGCCCAAAACGAACAGGGAAGGCAGAGGCCCAGGAAGTCAAGTTTCAGGAAGGAAAGGTGCACAGTGAGCCAGATAAAGAGACCAGAACCTCAACACAGGAGGAGGTGCAGAAACAGGAGAGCGAGCCAACAACGTCAGAACTTACAGAATCCTAAAACATCATGCAAGTAAGCTTCCTTTGCTCCTAAGACCATTTTTCTCCTTTATGCCATTAGATGGCACACACTTTGTGAAGCCATTGGGAATTCAGATAATTTGTGATTTTATGCAGAACCTTCAGTTGGGGAAATAACTGTCAACAATGCTAAAAGGTCTAGGAACGTTTCATTGGTTTTGGTCACTGAAATGCCATTGAGTCTTTTTGATGTTGTGAAAATAATGGCTTCATCTTGCCCATAGTGTGACTACTTTAGAAGAAGATAAAGGGGTGTGTGTGCTTGGCTCAGGCATAAAAAATACACTGTGCTCACTCCACATCCACTAGTTTGTTGATTTTTTCCCCCTAGTTGGGGTTTCACTCTGTCCCAGGCTGGAGTGCGGTGGCATCATCCTGGCTCACTGCAGCCTTGACTTCTTGGGCGCAAGTGATCCTTCCACTGCTGCAACCCCAGTAGCTGGGACTACAGGCATGCACCACCACACCTGGTTAATTTATTTCTTGTAGCGATGATGTCTCGCTATGTTGCCCAGGCAGGTTTAGAGCTCTTGGGTTCAAGCAATCCTCCCATTACGGTCTCCCAAAGTACTGGCTGAATTTTTATTTTTATTATTAATAGCTAGTGGCCAAAGTAAGTTTATATTAAACTGCTTGAAATACAATTTTTAGCTCTTTAGGAAGAAATAGATTTTTTTCCCAGCAGTAGTAACAAGCATTTCTGGAATATCCCAATGTATGGATGGCTTACCCTGATTGTGTCAGGAGACCACAGCCCCTCGTTTTGTGGCAGTCGAGCATAATACACTATGCACCCTCCCATCTTACTTTTTTTAAAAAACGGAGTTGAACTGTGGTATCATTAGGGCTCCCAATTGCAGCAGTTCATGCTTGCAACTATTCTGTTGTTAATAAATGAGAGAAGCTGGGTGCAGTGGTTTATACCTGTGATCTCAGCATGCTGGGAGGCAGAGGCGAGAGGATTGTCTCAGCTCAGGGGTTCGAGACCAGCCTAGGCAGCATGGTAAGACCTCATCTCTACAGTTAACCAAAAAATAAGCTGGGCGTGGTGGCACATGCCTGTAGTTCAGCTACTTGGAAGGATGAAGCTGAAGGAATGCCTGTGCCCAGCGGGTCGAGCCTATGGTGGCCGTGAGTGTGCCACAGCACTCCAGCCTGGGTGACGAAGTGAGATTCTAACTCAAAGAAAAAAAATGAGAGAGAAACCAGGCACGGTGGCTTATGCCTCTTATTCCATTTCTTTGGGAGGCTGAGTCAGGAGGATTGCTTGAGCCCAGGAGTTCGAGACTAGCCTCGGCAGTATAGTGAGACCTCATCTCTACAGAGTAAAACAAAATTAGCCAGACATGATGACGCATGTCTGTAGCCCCAGCTACCTGGGAGACTGAAGCAAAAGAATAGCTTGAGCCAAGGAGTTCAGAGCTTCAGTGAGCTATGATCACAGTGCTGCACTCCAGCCTGGACAACAGAGTGAGAACCCTATCTCTAATAAATGAGTAAATAAATAAATAAGGGTCCAGGTGTGGTGACTCGTGCCTGTAATCCCTGCACTTTGGGAGGTGAAAGCGAGAGGATTGCCTGAGACCAGGGATTCAAGACCAGTCTGGGCAACTTGGTGAGACCTCGTCTCTACAATAGATAAAAAAAATTAGCCAGGTGTGTACATGCCTGTAGTGCCAGCTACTTGGAAGGCTAAGATGGAAGGAAGGATCACCTGAGCCCAGCAAGTCGAAGCTGTGGTGGCCATGAGCATGCTACTGCACCCCAGCCTGGGTGACAGTGAGTCTCCAACTCGAAAAATAAATACATAAAGAAAGAATAAAAATAAATAGGGGAAAAGAGGGAGGTTTTATTTACTCTTGACTCTTACTCTTCTATAGTTAAGCTCACTGTCTGTCCGAGGTCCGACTGTGAAGACAAGTTGTAGAAGAAATTGAACGCGGCTGCTGCTGAGACTCAAGATCAATGTTTCAGAACTTTGAGCCCCGGAGAGCAGACACATCCACTGATCTCATTTCCAGAGAGCCCCTGACAATCCTGAGGCTGCATCAGGAGCTATAGCCATGTACTGTTTCCTCTTCTCTTGATACCATATAATGTTTCTGATTCAGTCCTGAATTCTCAACCTGGAACTGGAGATGGCAATATCTAGTTCTCCTTCTCAAACTGGAGTGTCGTTCTTTATGTATTTATATATATGTTTTACATAGTCCTCTTTCTGTATCTATTGTATATTTTTTCTTAATGTTTAAGGAAATGTGCAGGTTAGTTCATGCTTTTTTGTATCACCCAATATACGAGGGGGCTTGCAGCCATGGGGGAAGCCTTGGGGAGCTTTAAGCCTCGATTATAACCTATGAAAAACAGTGCTTCCTAGAAATAACATTCCTGATTAGAAGGTACAGTTTTTATTTTTAAATTCACTAACGATTAGGTCCGAGCTTAGTAGCACTCTGAAATTGGTCACTTTTCCACTATGCACAGTGTGCTAAAGATAAAAAGCATTTTAAAACGTGCAGAATGTTCCAGCGTTACTGGAAAATGTTTCTTTCTAGCCCAGTGGAGGTGAGAAAGAAGTTCAGGAGCAGATTAATTTTTTAAGTCTGTTCTACTTGTTGTGATTGTTTGGACTAGTGAGTATGCTTGATCCTGGGGCAAAGTAGCGAACTGTTTTTCATGTTACAAAGAAGGAAAGAATTGACTCATAGGTTTTTGATTCTCCTCTTAAATGCTGGGCTGCATTCACACACAGCATGAAGTAAGTCAGGTTCTTTACAAATGGTATTTTGATAGATGTTGGATTGTGTCTGTGCCATATTTGTTCCTTTTCTTTTAAGAACAATGTTGCATTACATTCATTTCGGTAAATTGTGATTTGACGACTGATTTTAAATAAAACGTTTGCTTCGTTTAGATTTGCTGGTTTTATTAGATCTTAGGAAGCCTGGGGCATATGTTTACTGCATTTGAATGGTAAGATGGGCTGAGCATGGTGGCTCACGCCTGTCATCCCAGCACTTTGGGAGGCCAAGGTGGGAGAATCACTTGAGCCCAGGAGTTTGAGACCAACCTGAGCATCATAGCAAGACCTCGTTTCTACACACACACACACACACACACACACACACACACACACACAGAAAACCTTAGCCTGTAGTTCCAGCTACTTGGAACTGAGGTGGAAGGACTGCCTGAAACCAGGAGGTCAAGGCTGCAGTGAGCCAGAATTGGACCACTGCGCTCTAGCTTGGGCAACAAAGCAAGACCCTACCTTAAAAAAAAAAAAAGGAATGTGAAGATGATGATAAGATAGTGATTGATAAATGAGAACTTTTTAAATGTAATCACTGCATGAAAACTTCACTGCACACTATTTGAGTTGGACATTCAGAGGAAGTCATGGCAGAGATGCTTTTGCTGAAAGAAACCAGTGGCTTTTTTTCAGAGTGACATTCTGGTATAAGTCTACCGGTAGTTCCTGAAAATGTCTATTTCCTGTGTTAATATTTTTGGTTTTAAATCACTATTAACTTTAAGAAGAGTTAATAGTAAAGATACCTTGCCTAAAAAGTGATCTTGGAAAAGTTTTTTTAAATGTCAAAATAATGAGTCTTTCTAATACATAAAGGATTTTCTCAGACAATTGTCACTCAAAGAACAGTGTCACTAGTCCACTCCAAAGTTCTACTTTTTCACGTATAGACCTAGCCTGGCATATAGCTTCTTAAATTTTTCTCAAACTCAGTACTTCAGTTTGAGAATTTAAATTTCTGCTGCCAATTAATGACTTTTAAAGCATAACATTCTATAAAGCCTAATTTTAGCAGAATGTGCTAGAAGGCACCTTGTGTTGTTCTGAACATTTGCTGTTAAAATTGAAGGTAGTTTCTATTGTGCCAGCAAACCTGACTACATAAATGATTGGCCATATTAGTCAGATACTTCATGACAACAGGGTATGGTCTTATGGTTGGAAAACATCTAAAAGCCTTTTAGAAGTTGTTATCAAATATATATATATAATAGCCACCTGTGCTTAATTATTAAACTGTACTCGGTGGCTCAGCCTGTAATCCCACGCCTTTGGGAGGCTGAGGTGAGTGGATTGCCTGAGCCCACGGCTTCGAGACCTGCCTGGGCAACTTGGCGAGACTTCATCTCTACATTAAATCAAAAATCAGCTGGGCGTGGTAGCGCGCGTCTGTAGTTCCAGCTACTTGGAAGGCTGAGGTGGAAGGCTCGCCGGAGCCCAGCAGGTCGAGGCTGCGGTGGCCGGGAGCGGCCACTGCACTCCAGTCTGGGCGACAGAAGGAGACTCCAACTCAAAAAAAAAAAAAAAAAAAGAAAAAGAAAAAGAAAAAAACTATAAAAATTATTACTATTTTTTTTGGCCAACCGAGACTTAAATCCAAGAATTGGTATCCATTTTTGAAGGTCAACTAAAAAGTACTGGGCCAGCCTGGGCAACATAGTGAGACCTCATCTCTACAAAAAAAACTAGCCAGGTAAAGAGACTTGCACCTATAGTCCCAGCTACTCCGGAGTTGAGGTGGAAGGATCACCCAAGCCCAGGATGTCGAGGCTGCGGTGAGCCATGATCATGCCACCACAATCCAACCTGGGCAACAGAGTAAGACCCTAACTCAAAAAAAGATGCAAAGTATTAGAAATGACAGCTATTTTGTAACTTCCCCTCTCTGGCAGAAACTTTGTGTTGTTTTGAACAGATTAAACATTTGGGTAGTTGGTAGAAAACTGATTTTTTTGGTTTCAATTCCATCCTCATGCCATATATGTTTGTCTTTTCTGACCACCTGTGGCCAGGGGGTTTCTGACCATCCTAGTTGAGATTTCATGCGTAGCTGCTTCATGACTCTGCGTTTTGTGTTAATATCTGAATGTGCCCTGGGTTACTGCTGTCCCAGCTCTGTGTGTCTATTGAGCAACATTGTTTTCTGCACAAGAGGAACACCAACAGTGGCGTGAAATACAATTCTGTTTTATAATTCTGAAGCTGCTGTTAACTTAATAATCTGATGTAAACTTCAGAATAATCTGATGTAAACTTCAGAAGTTAGAGCAAGTGCCTACATTTTGCTATTTTGGCATGACAACAGAGCCGTGTACAATAGAAAGCAATTCAAGACTTGTCAACTTGTCACTTGTAATTGAGGACTTTAGACTGTTCCCCTCAGGTGATTTTGCATACAGTATCCATGAGTTGCCTCTCTGTACATAGATATACGTTGTTCCGATATTTCCTTTGGTGTTTGGAACTAGCGTAGTCAAGGGCTGGAAATTTTAGCTTTCAGTATAAGCTTCAAGCCTAGCAGTTACCTCTAGTCTGGGTCAATATTTGATTCCTCATTCTGTTTTGGGGTAAAATTTCGTTTAAATAAAATGCAATCTAATTCAATGGCATGGGTTTTCTTTCTGTAACTTCACCTTGCTTCGGTTTTGATTGCTTTTCTCTTTGCTGTTGCAATGTGTATCATATGCTTCAGCCACACTTTTAACTACTTACTTGGCCACCCTTTGTGGCGCTGTCCACAGAAGCATCAAGCATCACGAGTTTGGAATGAAAGTATCTGGGGGTGGGTGTGAGTACACAGAAATCTCTGTCAGTGACCCTTTTGGGGTTCTGGGCTCCTTGAATTAGAATCTCATAAAGCTTCTACCTGACCTCTGGCTCCCCAAAATAAAGAGTTTTGTGTCCAGTTTTTGGATAGTCACACAGATCTCTGAAATGCCAATCAAGAACCATTTTGTTCATTGTTAGAAACATTTTGGCCGGGCTCAGTGGCTCAGTCTGTAATACTGCGCCTTTGGGAGGCTGAGGTGAGTGGATTGCCTGAGCCTGCAGGTTCGAGACCCGCCTGGGCAGCGAGACTTTATCTCTACAATAAATCAAAAAATCAGCCGGGCGTGGTAGCGCATGCTTGTAATTCCGGCTACTTGAAGGCTGAGGCGGAAGGATCGCCGGAGCCCAGCAGGTCGAGGCTGCAGTGACCGGAAGCGGCCACTGCGCTCCAGTCTGGGCGACAGAGTGAGACTCCAACTCAAAAAAAAAAAAAAAAAAGGATAAGGACAGCTGGGCTCAGTGGCTTAGCCTGTAATCCCAGCACTCTGGGAGACTGAGGCGAGTGGATTGCCTGAACCCATGGGTTCAAGACCACCCCGGGCAACTTGGCGAGACCTCATCTCTACAACAAACCAAAAAAATTAGCCAGATATGGTAGCATGTGCCTGTAGTTCGGTTACCTAGAAAGCTGAGACGGAAGGCTTAACCAGAGCCCAGCAGGTCGGCGCTGGGGTGGCCATGAGCATGCCACTGCACTCCAGCCTGGGTGTTGGAGTAAGACTCCAACTCAAAAAAATAAACAGAAAGGACTAGGACACAGTCCAAGGATTCCCAAGTAGTAATAGCTTGGACCTGAACACAAACCCAATGTCACGTAAATCTAAATCTACATGACTATTTTTTTAAACAGTTTAAATTTTATTTATTTTAATAAGGCATACATATTTTATTAACATGCACACCAGAGCCTTCAGACTGAAGACCCAAAGATATAGGGGAAGTTGTCCATTTTTTGACTTAGATCTACAAAGTATAAAAAGCTGCGCAGAAATATGATTGGACAAAAGGCTAAGACCTAATGCTAATAGACTGAGGGGGAAACCCAGCAAGGTCTGTCCATGTCTAGATTCTTCTTGGCTTCTCTGGGCATGCGTTCCTTCCTTCTGGGTATGGGGCAGGACCCTCTCTGGAATGGAAGGCTTCCGACCTACAGTCAAACAACACTATGAAGCCAGGCTCGGTGGCTCACATCTGTAATCCCAACACGTTGGGAAATGGAGGTAAGAGCCCAGGAGTTTGAGACCAGCTTGGGCAATATAGCAAGACCTTGTCTCTACAAAAAATTAGCCAAGCGTGGTGGCATGCACCTGCAGTGCCAGCTACTCAGGAGACTGAGGTAGAAGGATCGTCTGAGCCCAGGAAGTTGAGGCTACAGTAGCCATGAACGTGCCATTGCACTCCAGTCTGGGTGACATAGTATGACTTTAAACAAAAAAAAAAAAAAAAAGAAAGAAAGCAATGCCTTTTTTTGGTCACCTAAGCATAACAGGCATTTTCTCAAGTGTGACACCTGCCTCTAGTCCCAGTTACTCTGGAGGCTGAGACAGCAGGATCCCTTGAGCCCTGGAGTTCAAGTCCAGTCTGGGCAAAACAGCAAGACTCCATTACATTACTTTAAAAAAATCTTTACTGTAGTGATCTACAGTTACTAGTGAGGTTGCTTTGTAACTTTGTGTTAACAGAGGCCAGGTGCAGTGCCTCACACCTGTAATCACAGCACTTTGGGAGACCGGGGCAAGAGGATTGCCTTAGCCCAGGAGTTCAAGACCAGCCCGGGCAACTTGGTGAGACCTCGTCTCTACCATAAATCAAAAAAATTAGCCAGGCTTGGTGGTGCATGCCTGTTGTTCCAACTACTTGGAAGGCTGAGGTGGAAGGATCCCCTGAGCCCAGCAGGTTGAGGCTACAGTGGCCGTGAGCATGCCACTGCACTCCAGGGTGAGACTGACTCAACAACAACAAAAAAAAAAAACACATTGTGCTTGGCCCTACTCAACCCTGTCAACCTCAAGAGTTTACCTAATTCCTAGAAAAGCAGATGAGATTGCCTCTAGATCTTGAAACCTGAACATAACTAGGGGGGTTCTTAAAGACTTTACAGAAATGATCCTGCAGAGATGGCCAGGGGCCAATTCAAGGAGTGGGATTTATCTTATGAAGTCATTCGCATCCTTTAGTGAGTCCTCCTACAACAGTCATACTCAAGGCCAGGGGAGCGCCCATGACACTGCCACACTCGCTGGTAGGTGCTGCTGTGCGTTTGGTTATCACA